AAGGGCAAGTAACTGTTCTGTCAACTGGCCGAAACATGCTCACACATGGCTGTGGGCCAGCGGGTCATCCTTATTGTTGAGTTGTGAAAAGATTAGACCAGAAAATAGAAGCTCCAGGAACTTCGCCTAAGTAGTGGTTCAGGATTAGGAGATATCTGATCTGACATTAACCCTCTAAAAGTTCCTGGAAACACAAGATTTATAGCTTTAACCGTTTAACGTCACACTGGTATTGGCTGTGAGTACAAGTTTAATTCTGTAACCAGATCCTTTCTTATTTTCTTCCTTCTGCAGAAATGGGGTGAATGTGGAAGGGGCCACTCATAAGCAGGTGGTAGATCTCATCCGAGCAGGAGAGAAAGAGTTAGTCTTGGCTGTCCTGTCAGTTCCTCAGCCAGAGACGGACAGCCTTGATCCCGGGGACGATGGCTCATCGCAGTCCTGCTATGACTACAGTGACAAGCAGGCCGTGCCCATATCCGTGCCCACCTACAAACATGTGGAACAGAACGGAGAGAAGTTTGTGGTGAGCATTTCATCTGCAGTGGTTTGATACTTTTTCCCCTGATGGTTATTTTTGACTGCATTGTGTGTTTGTCAGGTCTACAATGTGTACATGGCAGGCAGGCAGTTGTGCTCAAAGCGTTATCGGGAGTTTGCCATCTTGCAGCAGAATCTGAGGAGGGAATTTGCCAACTTTGCATTTCCCAAGCTGCCAGGGAAATGGCCTTTCTCTCTGTCTGAGCAACAGCTAGACGCTCGCAGACGAGGGCTGGAGGAATACTTGGAGAAAGGTAAGAGAATGACGACACAGGAAGGGGCCGTGAGATGAAAATCTAGAAAATAAGTGTTTACAGATGTTTCCAACATTCACTCTCTGCCTTTCTCTGCCTTTGCCTCTTGATCTCACCAGTGTGTTCTGTTCGGGTAATCGGAGAGAGTGACATCATGCAGGAGTTTTTGTCGGAGTCTGATGAGGTAAGGTTTTGTGTATATATTAGGGCTGTCAAGATATCAGATTTACAATACACGATTATTGAAGGCAAAAGTATTCGCAACCACGATATTATTGTGCTAATTATAGTACATTTTGGGGAAAATAATCACTTAAAATATGAGTG